GGATATGCTTATTGCGGAGGGTATTTTTCACATGTGGATGCAGAACTGTATATTATACATGCCCAATAATATGTTATTGAAAACTTTCTCCAATAACTAAAGAGGGCAAATGAGTTTTAGACATCAGATATTTAGTCAGCGAACTGCTTGAAACAGCTTGATTCTTTATAGCAAATCTGGTTATCTTTTCCTCAACATTGAAACTATTTATATATTAGATTTATATTAATATTATATTATTATTACTTTCTTTTTAAAAACTTGTTAGAATGCTATTTCTCTCAAAACCTATCTTATTTCAAAGTAAAAGACACACTTCCCATCAATTCTTCACACTGTATGCTAAAGAATAACTCTTAGCTATGATTTTATGATAATCCTTATTTTTCAGTATTTTGTTCAAAACCAAATCAAGATCAGAGGCATGTTACTATCCACTCTTCATAGAAAATGAAGCAATGAGTGGCTGGACATTAGGTATAATCTTATTTACTCACATGACAGTATCATTTTTGCAGAATGAAAGAAGAAAATGAAAAGAAAAACTCCATAGGTACCTCATCATTTCTGATTCAAAACAACTTTGCAGTCTACAACCCCGCTAAAATCTAAGTATCACTCAGGTTTCCACTGACCTACATAAGCATTGGTCAAGATTTTTCATTCCACACATGTGACAAGAACTATGGAAAAAAGAACTCGTAGGTGGTGTTGCTCAGCTATAAAGTGAAATACACTCTTTTTAAGAGAACTTAAAGCATGAATACATGAGGAGAACTGATAGTTCAACATATGTCTAACAGAGACATCTGTTAAGGAACAGCACCAAAGAGCTTCTGCTGCTTTTGCCTTGATCAAAATATTTTCCAATAATTTTTTGATCTGGTTTTATAAACCTAGTTTCTTGGTAATCTGCTAAGAAATGTTAAAATTCTCAATATTGCTTCTGTAATTCTGTTCTTTTCTCTATCTTTACTGACCAAATTCTTCAACATAAAAGAGATTGTTTTGCAGTTCTGGAAAAAATAACTAGATTATCAGAAAGGTTTCTTGGCATTATCTAAAAATGCATAGAAGTTCAACTGGCTTAGGCCACCAGACACTAGCAATAAATGGATTTTTTATTTAAGATGTCAATTACTGAATTTTTTTACAATTTCATAAGTAGGAGTACTTACACAAAATCACTATCCTACCACTGTGAATTACATCATTTATAACTTTAATGCAGCTGTCCTCTGTTACTTAACAATGTAATTCTAAGTTGTAACAGTCTTGTCTTTATTTTCATTACAGGTTTTACCACCCAGGAAATCACTTCTGAACCACTGGGCCATTTTTGTGAGGATGGAATATTATGTAACAAAGTAAAACCACAGCCGGGCTCAGTAGCCCACACCTGTAATCCCAGTCATTTGGGAGGCTGAGACAGGAGGATCTTGAGTTCAAAGCCAGTCTTGGCAAAAGTGAGATGCTAAGAACTCAATGAGACCCTGTCTCTAAATAAAAAATACAAAATAGGGCTGGGGATGTGGCTCAGTGGTTGAGTGCACTTGAGTGTAATCCCTAGTACCACACAACACACACACACACACAAAAGTAAAACCACAGAAAATGTAAATTAATAAACAATACACAATGCCAGGCATGGTGGTGCACACCTATAATCCTAGTGGCTAGAGAGCTGAGGCAGAAGAATGGTAAGTTCAAAGTCAGCCTCAGCAACTTAGTGAGGCCCTGTTTCAAAATTAAAAATAAAAAAAGGCTGGGGATGTGACTCAGTGGTTAAGCACCCTGGGTTCAATCTCTTGTACCAAAATTAATTAATTAATTAATTAAAATAAACAATACACAAGAGAAAAAAATGTTAGCAGAGATGAACTGCATGCTAGTGACTGTGAACTAAGCCAGATTAACACACACTTTGCCATCTGTGCATAAACTAATGTGTCCACATTTCAAAAGTAGTGGAATTTATGAGAAAATTAAGATTATACACTTGAAATTTATTAACTATGAACAAAACCATTTTACTGTGTTAGTTTTCCTTCAACGTTACTACATTGCTTAAAAGAACCCCAGGGATCACTAGTACGGGTCCTGGGTCATTCTCAAAAAAACACAAATACATGAGGTGGGACTCATACTTTGAAGAGGAAGTTATAAATATAATATCTATCTCAAACACTTTTTAAACTTTGAAAACTCATCAAATTGGATCCCATTAATTTAATATACATGACACAAATAATATGACCATATTAGTGAATAATGTTGAAGACAATTAACAATTCCAAAGACCAAACTGTTTTTAAGAACTTTAGATTTTAGAAGTTTTAAACTGATGACACCTCAAATTTAGATTCTCTTCCTCCCCACCCCCCAGTACTGGAGATTGTACCCAGGACCTCATGTATGAGGTGCTCTATCACTGAGCTACATCTCCAGTCCAAATCTAGATTCATTTATCTATTATTGATGTTGGCAAAGGCAGGCAATAGTCCTTATAAATATATTATGCATGAAGAGGATGAAAGAGGGGATAGCTAAGTTCAGATAAAACCAGAACAAGAGTTAACAAAATACTTCTGAAGGTGTGATTAAAATGAATTCTTAAGTATCTTCTTATCTGCCTTTTAGTACGCACACCTGACATGGAGGCATATTTTACTATTTTTTTCTTTACCAAGAGAACTTACCTTACAATGCTAGGGAAAACAAATGAATTGCCCTTCATTCCATTATTTAATTTTTAGATATGACCAACTGGGAGATGTTACTGAGCAGACAGGTAAGGCCAAATGAATGTTCTTTAATGATGAGAACTAATCAAACCTTGATCTGTTTTTCTCCTCAAAACTTAATAGAAAGCAACTCTATGAACATAAATGCAACTGTTTAAAAACAACAATGTATACTGGTTATAATTAGTGAATCTCAATTGTTCTTTTGCTATTATTTTCACAGGTTAAGGAAAACAAAATTGTATCATGCCTGAATGGACATGACGAATGCATGATTATGCATGTATGGAAATATCGCAGTGAATTCCATTAATATGTGCAATTAATATGTGCTAGCAATTATAATAAAAAAATCACATCATTCTTTACATGCTTGTTTTAAAAAAGCAACACATATCAGCAAAGATTAGCAGAAATTATTTAATTTCAGAAATTATTTAACAACAAGGAAATCTTTTAGTTAAATAAAAGCAGATAAATAAAGCAACCTTCAGCTTCATGTTCAAATGTTTCAACAACTAAAACTGTGCTTTAAAGCATTCTCTGCAACCTCTTGTTAAAGACAGAGTGGGAGATCACATTATTATGTATCCCATCTAGAAGTTCTAAATGTCACTAAAAATCACTCAGTTTGCCAAAGTAATCCATGGCTTAATCCAGGAAAAAAAATCAAAATCTAGGTGGGCTACGGAGAGAACACCTGGGTACTGTTAGTAGTCTGTGTGTTTCAAATGGGTGAACAAAATTCTGTCCCACTGTGGCTTCAGCCCAGTAAAAGATAACACCTTTGGGTAATGCATCAGCCTAGGAGGATGCCTTGTTGTCACTCACACAAATGCCTCATTAGCTGAAAGACTGGTAATGTAGAAGAGATTTTCTCCCAGAAGAAATCCATAATAATTATCTCACTTTCACTGCAAAAGAAGAATCCAGGAAACTTTTCATGTTCTCACTGAGCAGAAATATCAGTGCTATGAAAAGTTATATTGGTTGTCAAATTTAAAAGGAATCTCAGGAAAGTACAGAGACAGTTCTCTAAAGGGACATAAAAATATACTTGAGTTATCTGGCACTAAGACAAATGGGAAGGAAGTTTTGATATCACAAATCCATATTTTAAAATGTAGTGTTAGAATCATAGCAGATGTAGTTAAACATGCCATACTAAAACTTTCTTTTATTTATCTATTTATCTATCTACCTGTCTATTTATCTATTTATTTATTTATTTTTGGTATCAGAGATCAAACCCAGGGGCACTTAACTGAGTTCCATCCCCCACCCTTTTTATTTTTTTATTTTGAGAGAGGATCTCACTAGGAGCTTAGAGCCTCACTAAGTTGCTGAGGCTGGCTCTGAATTTTCAATCCTCCTGCCTCAGTCTCCCAAGCTGCTGTACCTGGCATAAAAATTTCTTCTCTCTGTTCTGGGACTCCAAAAGTCTTATCACATTTGCTTATGTGACTATGATCCTACTCTGTTTTAATACAAATCAATCAATCTATCTATCTATATAATAATATATATGTGTATGTGAATTATATATACATATATATAAAATTTCACTATATACAAACAGTATACATGGCCTAACAATAAATTACTTGCTTCATTTTTAAAATATGAAAATGTACATCTGAGAAAGTTTTCCCATTGAAGTAATGAATGAAGTAACAAGAAACAACTTTGGTTTACCAGGATAATTCCCATTCTAACTGCTCTTTTTTCTCCCCATGTGGTTTTGTATTTTCACTCTTTAAAGAAATATTCCTGTCTTTTACTGTGAGTAATCTGAAAGGCAAGTGCTATGAGAAAAAAGAAGAGCTAAGTGAAGCAATAAAAGAAAACTCACCTGTTCTCATATTAACTCAAAACTAGATTTTAAACTAAGAAGCCTGAATACTTCAAAATATGATACAAAGTTTTATTCTTCTCAATTAAAAGAGATAAATTCCTTTCATATGGAATATGCATTACAATAAAGTCTATGTAAGTATTCCAAAATCCAAAAATCTCTGAAATCTTAAACACTTCTATTCCCAAACTTTTTGGGTAAAGGGGATTCAACCTGTAGTAGATATTTTTCAAACAACTATTTATTTGTAAATGTTATGTTTTATATCATGTTTTTTCTTCATACATGTATGAAATGTAGTATTATACTTAACTTAATAGAAGAATTCAGATAACTGACTTTACAGAACTTTATGTATTAATAATAAACTCACATTCTAATTACATGCTAAAATTAATTACCTTTTGTAGACTGGTAGGATTTAGCTGAGTTTTGTCTATTATTTTCACAGCAACCTAGAAAAGAGAATCATTAAGCTGTATCTGAGAATATATATTTTAATGAATAAAAACTTACAAAGAAAATGTCTTTTGTTTCATTCCTAATTATGCATTATTTAGTTCTATTTGAGTATTCATGATATTGGTAGTTTTGTAAACTTGTCAGTCTTAGAATATATTCCATTGACCTGTCTTTAACATATCTGATCCTGTGTCAATGCAATTAAGCCTTTGCTATTTATTCCAAGTTTTCTCTTTTACTGTAAAAATCACCCCTGTATCTTAATTGTTTACTCATGATCTCAATAAGCAACAAACATAGGGGGATAACTTATAAACATGTAGTAATTAAAATATTATGTGAATAAAATGATTACATGGATACAGAGATTAGCTATGCAAGCCTTCTTATAGCAAAAAGGCAAAATGGATTTAAACATCACTGAAGGCTCTATCTGGTATAACCTGTATGTAAACAGCTCTTAGGGTTGGAATGAACTAAATTAAATGGAAAATGACAATAAAAGTATACATAAAGTGAAAATATTAAAGTAATTCTGTAGTTGAGACTTTTAAAAATAATGTCCTAATCAGATCTAGTAAACATTACATAATACGATCGTGAGCTATTTATTTAAATGAAGTCTTTAACCCAAACATACAGACATAAATATAAAATGTACAATGTGCAAATATATAAATTTTTACCACACAAGTACAGATTATTTAAAACACAAGGGATTTTAGAAATCCAATTATCTTATCACCGAGAAAACCACCTGTATAACAACATTCATTTACTGGGGTCTCTAAACAAAAACTAGTGGGGAATTTTCTACATATTTGCACTTAGCTTACCTTAAGCTAAGAGCTTATCCTAGCCTTGTTCCTGAGATTAGTAGCAATGGTAATCAGAAATGTTTAAAGAAACCATATAATAAAAGATGGAAGGCCGAAAGTTGCTCATTTGCAGCACATCTGATTTACAAGAGATGTTAATATGTTAATATGTATCAATCTTTCCTAAATGCTAAAAGATCAAATTTTATGCCATGATACAGATCAGTTTACTAATGTTCCATGCACACATAATAAATCACATGTTGCAACTGTCATTTATTCCTCAACTTCAACTATTAAGAAAGCTCTTTCACAACACTCTGGAGAAGTCCAGGCAAATATTAAAAGGCATCATAAAAACTTACCTCTCTACCAGTTAGAACATGTCTTGCCAATTTCACTTTGGCAAAATTCCCCTTCCCTATTGTTTTTTGTAAACGGTAATTTCCAATGTGAGGCTGTTCATCTGTTGCTGACGTAATGGAGTTTCTACACCGGGGGATGTTCTGTCTGCTACTTGATTTGGTAGGCTGGATGTGTGGTTCCGTATATCCATCCACAGATGTATGCTAAGAAAAAGGTTATAAGATTGCATCATTAATTAAATTACATTATAAAAGGGCAATTAAAAAGACTACAAATAATTTTCATTAACGATTATTCCTCAATGAAAATATACTGTGCATACAATTTAAAGTTGAGCATTCTATTCATAATTCCTTCTTGACTTCAACTCCTTTTACTGATAAGTTCAACCATTTAAAATAAAATGAGTATATACTTTTATTTATTCACTTTATTATTTTTACTGTGCTGGGGGGTCAAATCCAGGGGCTTGTGCATGCTAGAAAACTGCTCTATCACTGAGCCATATCTCTGGCCTTTACATGCTTTGAATGAAAAATGTAAATGGGTACATAGCCAGACACTCAACAGACCATTACTGCTATACAGGATATTGCCCTTTTACACTGAATGACAGCATAGACCAGGACTGCTCCATTAGAAGGACAGAATGTCTTTACTACCAAAACAAAACAAGCTCATGATATAGAATATTTGGCTAAACTAGCCCAGCCTCTCAGACTAGCCACTTTATGTTCTCTCTTACATTTCTTGCGAATATAACTTGACCAATTGATCAAATGGGTGCCTGCTACAAGTATACCTCTGATCAATTACTGCCTAGCCCCCTCGCCCAGCTCACCATGCTCATGTAAGAGGTATCTATATTCTTACCCAGGTTCATGGTTCAAGATTCTTTGCATTCCTCCTTAATGTTGTTCTTGACACAAAGATGTCACTTTGTCTCACAGTCTCATATGACTTCAGTGGATAGCTGATCCTGCTCAGTTGGGGGCTCAGTACCTGGACTCTCAGTTCAAGCTGCCTAACCATATCTTTTCCTAGCTCTGATTATTTATGCTGCTAATTTTGTCTGCTTTATGACATACATAAAAGCTATTGCAAATATAATCACACATGATAAACATAATGTTTTTCTCTGACTTTTTAAAAAATAGCTGCAGATGCACCAGGAATGTGATTCAGTGATAGAGCATTTTGCCTGGCATACATGAGGCCCTGGATTCAATCTCCAGCACCAAAAGTAAATAAATAAATAAAATAAAAATAATTGCAGTATGACAAATTAACAAAAGAAGGGTCATCTTTTATTTGCAAAGTAATTCAGATTCATGTTGTCCTAACCTATACAAGAAAACGTTTCTCTAAAATATTCTGAGTTTACTGTAAATGAGGTAGTTTTCCTCATTTCCTTCTCAGAGGATTTGTTACTGGTATACAGAAATGCTTTTGATTTATGGGTGTTGATTTTATATCCTGCAACTACGCTAAATTCATTTACTAGTTCTAGAAGTTTTCTGGTAGAGCTTTTTGGGTCTTCTAGGTATAGAATCATATCATCAGCAAATAGTACTAATTTAAGTTCTTCTTTTCCTATATGTATCCCTTTAATTTCTTTCATCTAATTGCTCTAGCCAGTGTTTAAAAAACTATGTTGAATAGAAGTGGTGAAAGAGGCATCCCTGTCTTGTTCCAATAACCTCAAAAAAAAAAAAAAATTAAGATACTTGGGAATCAGCTTAATGAAAGAGGTGAAAGATCTATACAATGAAAATTACAGAATCCTAAAGAAATAAATCAAAGATCTACCTTGCTCTTGGATAGGCAGAATTAATATTATCAAAATGACCATACTACCAAAAGCACTATACAGATTTAATGCAATTCTGACCAAAATCCCAATGACATTCCTCATAGAAACAGAAAAAGCAATCATGAAATTCATCTGGAAAAATAAAAGACCCAGAATAGTTAAAGCAATCCTTAGCAGGAAGAATGAAGCAGGTGGCATCACTCTACCAGACCTTAAACTATACTACAGAGCAACAGTAACAAAAACAGCATGGTACTGGCACCAACACAGACTGGTAGACCAATGGTACAAGATAAAGGACACAGAGACTAACCCACAAAATTACAATTATCTTATATTAGACAAAGGTGACAAACACCTGCATTGGAAAAAAGATAGTATCTTCAACAAATGGGCTGGGAAAAATGGAAATCCATATGCAACAAAATGAAATTAAACCCATATCTCTCACCATGCACAAAACTCAACTCAAAGTGGATCAAGGGCCTGGGAATTAAATCAGAGACTCTGCGTCTACTAGAAAAAAAGTAGGCCCTAATCTTCATCATGTGGGTTAGGTCCCAACTTCTTTAATAAGACTCCTATAGCACAAGAATTAAAACCAAGAATCAATAAATGGGATGGAATCAAACTAAAAAGTTTCTTCTCAGCAAAAGAAACAATCTGTAAGGTGAACAGAAAGCCTACATCCTGGGAGCAAATTTTTACCCCTCACACATTAGATAGAGCACTAATCTCTAGAGTACATAAAGAACTCAAAAAGCTAAGCACCAAAAACCCCCCAAATAACCCAATCAACAGATGGGCCTAGGACCTGAACAGATGCTTCACAGAAGAGAATATACAACCAATCTACAAATATATGAAAAAATGTTCATCTTTTCTAGAAATTAGAAAAATGCAAGTCAAAACTACTCTAAGATTTCATCTCACTCCAGTCAGAATGACAGCTATTATGAAGACAAACAACAATAAGTGTTGGCGAAAATGTGTGGAAAAAAGGTATACTCATACACTGCTGGTGGGACTGCAAATTGGTGCAGCCAATAAGGAAAGCAGTATGGAGATTCCTTGGAAATTTGGGAATGAAAACACCATTTGACCCAGCTATCCCTCTCCTTGGTTTATACCCAAAAGACTTAAAACCAGCATACTACAGGGACACAGCCACATCAATGTTTATAGCAGCACAATTCACAATCGCTAAACTGTGGAGGCAACCTAGATTCCCTTCAGTGGATGAATGGATTAAAAAATGTGGCATATATACATAATGGAATTTTACTCAGCAATAAAAGAGAATAAAATCATGACATTTACAGGTAAATGGATGAAGTTGGAGAAGATAATGCTAAGTGAAGTTAGCCAATCCTCCCCCCAAAAAACAAATGCTGAATGTTTTCTCTAATATAAGGAGGCTGACTCATAGTGGGGTATGGAGGGGGAGCATGGGAGGAATAGATGAATTCTAGATAGGGCAGAGGGGTAAGATGGAAATGGAGGGGGCAGGGGGTTAGCAATGATGGTGGAATGTGATAGATATCATTATCCAAAGTACATGTATGATGACATGAATTGGTGTCAACATACTTTATATACAATCAGAGATATGAAAAAATGTGCAGTATAAGTATAATAAGAATTGTAATGCATTGTGCTGTCATTAATTTTTTAAAAAAATCAATAAAAAAAGGAAAAAAGGTGATTCAGAGTCAAAAAATAAAAATAAAAAATAAATATTTTGAGCAGAAGTTTCTCTTTTTCCTTGCTTTTTTCATTGGTGCATTATAGGTACACAATAATAGTTGGATTCATTTTGCCACATTTGTATATGTATGCAACATTATTGGCTCAATCTCTTTCCCAGTACCTTCCCTTCCTCCCTTTCCCTGATCCACTTACTCTGCTGATCTCCCTTCTATAATAATTATTATTTTAATCAGTGCATTTCATATATGTGTGTGTATATATATATATATGTATGTATATATATATATATATACCTATATAGTATACATACCATTATACACACACACACACACACACACACGATTCATTGTGATATATTTGTACATAGACATAGCATAATTTGGTAGATTCTGCTGAATAGAAATCTCTTAAAAGCAAAACTAAGAATGAATCTATTTACCAGCCTTGTGCAAAGCATGATTCATACTCATTTTTCTATTATTACTTCCTGATTTTTTTTATAAATAATTGTTTTTAATTCAGTTCAAGATTACAGATATTCTTCTGAGTCTTATATATAACTCTAGTCTCTGGCCTCCTTCTGAATTAGAGGCCCTTTTGGTGCACTCTTACAGTGACCTGTTTCTATGTAAATAACATCCATCACACTGTACCATCATTATATATTTACTGGTCTGTCACTGGCACTCTACCATGAACAATTCTAGAGCAAGGATATTTTCTTTTCATCTCTGTGTGCTCACCACATTGAAAGTGCCAGATACACAGGAAGGATTCAATAAATCAATAGTTCTCAAAGTATTATCCTGGACCAGCATCATCTGGGCACTTATCAGAAATGCAAATGCTCCAGTCCTGTTCCAGGTCTATTGAATAATAAACTCTATGGGTAGGTTGCAACAATTTGTGTTTCAACAAGTGTCTTCTGATACATACCAAAGTTTGAGAACTATTGCAATAAATCATATGAAAATGTTATTTAGTGTCTCTTAGAGACTCTTCTATTAACTGGGCACAAACAAGATTTTAACTCCATTCAATTCTAAGAGTTAGCAGACTGCTATAATATTTCCCACAAATGGTCTCTGTCTGAACTTGTTCTACAGAGAATGCTGACTTGTCCATCCTTCAATTCAATATGAATATTCCTCTTTCATGAAGCTTTTTGTCCTTTCACGAAAGAGTTTATTCCTCTCTTCTGTTGCTACTTTTATATCCAGTAAATATTTCCACAATTGGAATTATCACACCATCTTGTAAATATCTATCCATAGTCTATTTTTTAAATTTTAAATAATTATTACTATCATCATCAGCAGCAGCAGCAGAGGCAGCAGCATTTTTCACTACTGAGGTTTGTCCCCAGCTCTTTACAGTTTCTGAGAATTTTTCTTTTGAGGTGCTGGGGCTTGAATTCAGGGTATCATGCGTGCTAGACAAGTACTTTACTACTGAGTCAGATTCTTTGCCCTTATTTTTTATTTTGAGACAGGGACTCAATAAGTTGCCGAAGTTGCCTCAAACTTGTAATCCTCCTGCCTCAATCTCCCAAATTTCTGGGATTACGGTCATGTGCACCATGCCTGGCTGTCCCAGATTTCTTTTTGCTATAGATCCAAAGCTCCCAAATCTGCATAATTTAACATAGTGTTAGGGACAAAAAAGGCACCAATACACATT